AGAGCTGAGGTTAGAAAGAGCTGTCTCCTGAACTCAAAGCCATTTCAGACTGGGCGAAGAGAAAGCTCACTCTGAATGTTTCAAATAGAGTATTGTTGCGGGCAAGGTGGGAGGGAGGAGGACAGTTTAGGAGCCTGGTACCTTTGTTCCACCTGATATTAAAGCTTGTACTACACCAGAAAAGGAAGCACAGCCTTCCTGATGTACAGCTGGTGTTTACTCTAACCCATGGACGCATACACCTCTGTTCTTTATAAGTCCTGCTCCGTTTTTAAAAAGGTTCAACACAGTTACCTCCTTCTCCTTCCCTTTCCTCTCCTCCTCCTGCTTTTTCTCCTCCTTCCACACCATGTACCATTTCTCCTGTCAGATAAGGCTCTTGTATCTGGACAGGCAGCGGTGTTTCCTTTCTGGGGTTGGTGGGATTGGTCTGTTACAGCAGGTTGGCACTTTGTTGCCCTGCCCTTACATGGCGTTAGCCTAAGACGTGGTACATGGTAAGTGGCCACAGACATGACTCCAAACTTGAATTTTTGTTCCTTGTTTCAGAAGACAATGATGGTGGTTATTCACCTCAAGGAAGAAAGAAAGGTTGGAGTTATTTTCGAGGTAATTTTGACAAGAGGACCCATCATCAATATGGTGGGTATGGACTTCAGCCTTCACACCTCCAGGAGGATGATGGAAACGTGGAGATGAGGGGAGTGCAGAAGTACCAAGTCAGACAGTAAGTGACCCGGCAGCCTGGTTTGCATGTAGCAGCCCATGGGACTGTGCAACTCCTTCTCTGTCCATGGTTTTCTTTTTCCTCTCTCACTGGAAAACTGAAGAATGCTACAAGTGAAATCATGGTTGAACAATCCTAATTGTAGTCCTGATGTCAGAGATGCAAGGATATATAGAAGACTTTCTTAACATTCATGGCCACCCTTTTTCTCTCCACTTTTCCCCTGTAGCACTCCCTATACCATGGGATACTACAAGAGGAGAGTGCAATGGCATAATGAAGGCGGTCTCCATGTTACTCTGTGGTCTAATAGAAATCATCTCAGGAGTGAAATGGGGGAAGACACACCAGATCGAACCCTGGGGAGCTGGTTCAAGGTCACAGTGAGTGTCCTGAAAAAAATGTATGGCGTGTTCAGAGAGAAAGGTCAGGTGGACTATGTTGGTCTCATGTGGAGACACTGGGTACTTTGCTGGGGACAGTTTACAATCTGCCCTTTTTATTACTTACTCATCTAAGGGCAGATTCAGAGAAGCGATATAAGGAAACAGGCTGACTGTATGGAAAACAGAGGAGGTTGTCTTAAGGGAAAGGTGAAACTACAGCCAAGGAAATGGAGCAAGTCCACACTGGATGTCTCAGTTTGGCTCAAGCTGAGTGTGGGAGATGGGGGGTTGAGTCTCTGGAAAACTTCTCAGAGGGGCAAGCAGTGTCCTCGATAGCATCTCCTGGGACTTTATAAAAGGAAGAAAATGTCTAACTCTTAAGTTGATTATGGGGAGGAGAGCTTTAAATGGAGAGATAATGGATTTAAGAACTCCATATTTGGCACAAACATAAGTAATCATGCCAGTGATCACTTTTTAGAAGCCCTTTAAAGTTCAGGAGAAGGTAGGCAAAGAACACTGTGTTCTTTTGGGTCTGTACTCCAACCTTCTTTTATGTTGTCCCTCCTGTCTTTGTACCCTTCTTTTCACCCTTAGGTTCCCTGTGGAAGAAAGTATGACAAGACATGGCTAATGGATTCAATCCAGAGCCATTGCAGTGTCCCCTTCACTCCAGTGGATGTAAGAGAGGATGGTGAAGCCAGATGAGGGGGCACAAGGAAGGGGGAGAGACCTGGCTCAGCTTGGGCCATTGGCCTCTGACACTATTGTTGCCTTCAATCCTTGTAGTTTCACTATGTGAAAAAGAAGGCTCGGTTCTTTGTCCAGGATGCTAGTGCTGCCTCTGCATTGATGGATGTCAGCTACAAGATTTGTGATGAGGAGAACAAAAAGGTATGTTTCGAAGTCATTATCTGTACTTAGTCCCTGGGCAGGAGGACAGGTAGAACTGGTTACCTTCTGCAGGACTAAAGCTCCTTGTGCTTACTCCACCTCTTCTTCCTTCAGATAGCTGTCTTTGTCAATACTTCTGCTGAACCTTACTCTGTGCGGGATAAGTTGGAGCCGGAAATAATGGAACAGCTAAAGGTAATGCCGACTTGGGTACATGTTTGCCCCCAGACACACCTGTTCCTTCTCCAGCCACCATTTCCCTGTCACCACGACAGCCTTAGAGCTCTCTCTCCATATCCCTCTGCAGCTGACCATGATCAAAAGATATGATATCTCTCAGAAAGCTCTTGACCTCCAGAGTCTCCGCTATGACCCAGGTACAACTGACAGCAGTAATTCTAGGGCAGATGAGGGCAGAGGGTTCTTTCTGCCTGGGAGGAAGACCTAAGGAGGGTAATGAAGGAGGGTTTGGGGCTGGTCCTGGACCTCTCTCAGCCTTCTGATTGACTTCCCTTGGCTTCCTGAAGATTTGGTGGGATATGATATTGACATAATTCTGAATAGAAGAAACTGCATGACTGCCACCCTGCAAATCATCAAAAAGAATTTCCCTGAGGTGAGGCCCTAGACCCAGTGCTGGTGTTATATTAGGGGGTCGAACAGATGGGATGGAAGGCAGGTTTGTCTCCGAGGTCTTAGATAGTAACTGTCACTAACTCTTTCCCAAAGCTGTTGTCCTTGAACTTGCACAGCAACAGACTGTACCAGCTGGATGGCCTTTCTGATATTATACAGATGGCCCCCACAGTCAAGATTCTGAACCTCTCCAAAAATGAGGTGAGAAGAGGAACAGAGCAAAGTTGGGTTGAGAGTGGGTGGTAGTGGTCATCAGAGTGATGATGGTAGCGCAGGCAAAGGTACCTGTGAGGCAGGGAGGGAAGGGACTGTGGGTTCAGCGGCTTGGATGTCCCTCTTTCCCTGGGACTATTTTTCAATTTCCCTCCTGTATTTCTCAGCTGAAATCTACCTGGGAGTTGTGCAAGATCAAAGGACTGAAGCTGGAACAGCTGTGGCTGGAAGATAACCCCTTGTGCCACACCTTCCCAGACCAGTCCACTTACATAAGGTCAGTGTGAACCCTTATCACCGTTCCTGGGGTCCTCTGAATCCTGAGAGCCTGGACTACCCTTGACAGTGCCTGCCTCAGAAGGTGGCAGCCCTGGACCTCTGAGAGGGCTGGAGGCCCCACCTTCTCTTCTCTGTGTCCCTCACCTGTGTGCTTAGACGTCTCCTACCCTACCTCTGACCTGCTCACCTGTTCTCATGATCTGAGGTCTGGTTCTGGACTCTGCATCTAGTTTTCTCTATCATGCCCAGCAAGAATGTGCTCCAGGATGCAAGGCTCTCCATCTCACCAGAACTAGGAGTGTTGAACCTGGAGGTAGATACTGCTGATCTGGGCTGAGAAACATCCTCCATCCCAGACTCATGCTGACAGTCCTTCCTGCTTCTGAGATGATACAGAGTATCCCCAATCTATTCTGGAAGAAACCTTCTTTCCCTTGCATGTAAAGGGTGTCCCCTAGAATCCCAGGTTGACATGGAGACTTTCCCACCTCGTGTCAATGGCCCAGTCCCTGGGAACAGCTGTTATGACATCTGTTCCTTTAGTGAAATAATCAGGGATGAGCATTCCTTAATAGAATCCAGGTTTTCCTGAGTGAGGGGCCAGAAGTGAGCCACTGGCAGTGAGCAGAGGGCCTCTTGAGGCAGCACTGGAAGGCAGAGTGCAGAGGGGGTTGAGGAGACAGAAAAGTCTTCTCAGGGACACTGCCCCTCCCTGCACACATCACATCATCTGCCAGGTCCTTCAGAGGAGCCCTGGGTAGCCTGAAACAGGTAGGATTTCTCAGTCAAGGAACCAACTAAGAACAGGCATAGGTGCACAGGAGCCATGAGGAGAGAAGGTGGTGATCATAAGAAGGGGTAACAGATCCCCCACTCCAAGCTCAGCTGGGGCCTGACCCTTTACTCTTTCTGGGGAAGGTCTCCTGATCCTGTGGCTGGTGTGTTTCCCATGCTCAGTTCAGATTGAGTCCCACAGGTTACAAAGTCTCAACCAATATCCCATGGTCCTGAGGCCAACAGATGCATGTTTTCCCTTCCTCCCTGGGGTCCCAGGGCCACCCAGGGGCAGATGAAAGAAAGGGCTGCTACAGGGAACCATTCCCTCTTTCTTTTCTCTTCTTATCTTACCCTCACCCCCACTTCCAAGACAGAGCTTCTTTCCCTTCCCTTTACTTTCTTTTTCATCTTTGTCTCTACTCTTCTAGTCTTTGCAATCTCCTCTCCTATCTTCACTCTTCTTCTGTCTTCATCCCCTTCTCTTTCCCTCCCTGCCTCCTAGTCCCTCCCTCACTCACCTACTTGCCATCTTTGGGCATGTTCTGTTTCTGGCAGGATGCTGTACCTCTGATTAGGTAAGAGCCTTGGGCCCCCACCCTATTCTCTCTTCTCTCTGGAGCTATCAGTGCGGACCTCAGGAAGGGAGACAGGGTGGGAGAAGAAGCCCTGCAGTCTGGGATTCATATATTGTGTTTTGTGGCTCTGGAGAAGGAGCCAGGGCCCTCTTGGTGGGAGCTAACCAGGAGGAGGGAGAGGGAGGGAGAGAGTGGCGGGGGAAGGAAATGGTGAGGGATGGAAGAAGGAATGGAGGTGATGAAAGTGCAGTTGTGGAGAGAGATGGGACTGTGCAGGTGTTTCAGAGGTTCCATTTGGCAGATGGTCAGTGCTTAGCAGGGGAGTGGACCCAGAAGCCTTGAAATCAGAGGCTGAGGAGGGCCCAGGTGGCTTCTGGGTGGGCAGAACACCTGTCTCTGTTCAGGCCTTCAGTGTTTTAAGTAAATGGAAGCTTTGCAGCCCAAACTATCAACCACTTTTTTTATTTTTGGATTTGGACAGTGCCATCAAGAAATGTTTCCCCAAGTTATTACGCTTGGTAAGTGCCTACATTCATCATCATCTCTTACTAACATTGACAACCTCTACATCTGCCCTCAAGCCCTTTGTGTCTTGCCAAGATTAAATGTTTGCATCAGAGCCTTATCCATTTGGGGGGACATGGACTCCTGAAAAGGACATGAATATGAATGATCTCTGGGAGAATATACACACATACACAGGAAGAAAGACAAGGAGGGAGGGAGGGACGGAGGGAGGGAGGGACACAAGTGGCATGAAACAGTAGAGATGTCCAGGACCTCAAGATGCAGATGCCCACTGGAATCTTGCCCATGTATTTTTCAGTGCCTTGTCACTGCTCACCTCTTACCTTCACCGTCTCCGGGGCCCATCCTTTGTCCTAATCACCCAGGACCACCTCCCTGGTCTGCACTTGTAACTTATCTTCCCTTCTCCAGGATGGCCAGGATTTAGTTCCACCAACTACCACTGCCATTGACAAACCCCACCTAATGAAGCCCTTAGTAAAGGTGAGGAGGAAGTATCAACACTTGGGCTCTTGTAAGGGAGGCTTTATCAGCCACGTGGTCTCAAATATCTTTNCCTCTTACCTTCACCATCTCTGGGACTCATCCTTTGTCCTAATCACCCAGGATCACCTCCTTGGTCTGTACTGCTAACTTATCTTCCCTTCTCCAGGATGGCCAGGATTTAGTTCCACCAACTACGGCTGCCATTGATGGACCCCACCTAATGAAGCCCTTAGTAAAGGTGAGGAGGAAGCATCAACATTTGGGCTCTTGTAAGGGAGGCTTTAGCAGCCGCATGGCCTCAAATGTCTTTGATTCCAGGAAAACTTTGAAGAATCTGATGTTCTGAGGACTCAAGTCCTGCAATTTGTGCAGCAGTAAGTTCTGTGGGGACCACCAGGAATGGGGAGAGTTGGGACAGTCTGGGCCACCCAAGCACAGGTCTGCTCTTGAGAGTTTTCAAGACCCCTTTGAGGTCCAGTTCATAGAGATAGATTGTGTTCATTGTCTCCTTACAGATATTACTTCATCTATGACTATGGAGACAGACAGAGTCTCCTCAGTGCTTATCATGATGAGGCCTGCTTCTCCCTGACCATTCCCTTCATTCCAGACAACGCAGGCCCGTGAGTATTGCAGCTCAGACTCTGATTTTGGGGCATGTGTCTCTCCAGCAGAAACTGGTCAGCTCATGGAAACACCCACACTGGCCAGACCATCACTTCCTATTCCTCTTTTTCTCTTAGAAGCAGCTTGTTTGAGTACTTCAAGGATAACAGGAATGTGAAGAACATCAAGGACCCCAGTGCGTGTGGGCTGAGGAAGATTGGGCAGGGGAAGGGGGCATGAAGAGCCATTCATAGGGTCAGGGTGTGGCAACCTTGACCTTTGCTGTACTTCCCCAACAGCCCTGCATTTTCAGCTGTTGAAACATACAAAAGGTGACATTGTGAGCACCCTCTGTGTTTTGCCCAAAACTCAGCATGACCTCAGCTCCTTCGTGGTGAACATGAGGTTCCACTCGGTGAGCACCCAGTTCCTCCCCAGGATAGGACCAGAAAGATGCAGCTGGGTGGGAGATGTAGATGGCGACTGAGCACCTGTGCTCTTCCCTTTCAGGAAAGCCTGTTCTTCTTCCGTGTCAATGGGATGTTCAAGGAAGGTGTGTGTGTGTGTCAAGTCCCCTCTCTAGATACCCCACAACTCCCTCCGCCTCAGAACTCTCAAAGCTTCCCTGATCCCTTCCCTTTTTCCTCACTATTTCCTCTGGGTTCTCCTGCCAGAACTCTGCCCCCAAACCATCCTGGTCTGACCTGCATCCATGACTATCATCCCAGCACAGCTGGGGCTTTGGGGACACAGGTGTGGGGTTTGATGGCTGTCATCCCAGATCCTGACTGTGGGAACTTGAGCTCATTACCTAACCTCTCATTTTCCTCATTTGCAAAATGGAACTAACAATACCGACCTCTTGGGTAGCTGCAAAAAAATGAATCAAATGAACTTGTGAAGCGGTTGCCCCAGGGCCTGGTACATAGTACGGTCCGTGTCAGTGGGAGCAGATTTCTCCTGTTGTTGTTCTTCCCATTCCTGACACCCTGACTCCCAGTGAACAGTTGTCCCTTGGCATCAGTATCAAGTCCTACCCTGACCGGGATCTCTGTGTGACTGAGCGAAGCACGTGTAACTCCAAGGGTTCATTGTTGTCTGTTGTTGTTGAAGTGGAAGGAAGATCTCAGGGTTCTGTGCGTGCCTTCACCCGGACCTTCATTGCTACCCCTGCCAGCGATTCCAAGTGAGTGTTGTGCTCTGGCTGGTAATATGCAGCCCATCCTGGGCTCAGGGCTATGGAAATATGGCTGTGCATGTCCTCAGGGTTTTCCGTGTTGTGGGAAGCCAGCAGATGAAACCAAGGAATAGTCTTGCATGGGGTTCAAGATCATGGGCTCTGGAGTTAAACACTGAAAGTGTTCCAGGTTTCTTTTAGGGTTTTTATGTGACCGCAACACTCACTAAATTTATTTCTTAGTGAAATCACATGTCTTCTCCATGATACTATGTCTTCCTCTGAAAATGGGATTATACTGTCCTCTCCCTCGGGCTGTTTTACAGAGTAATACAATGGGGTTTAAGGTACAAATCTAATGAAGCTGGTAGACAATCTATCCAGGGGTAGGCTCAGTGGTAGTGGCAAAGCTACCAGGCAAAGGATCTGGTTTGCAAATACAGACGGGGGTGGGAGGAATCTGGTTGCTGCGTGGCAGTCAAAACAGGATCATTGCTGAGGGTGTGGGGTTGTCTATACATCAGTTGTCTGAAATGCACATTTTCCCTCCAGCCTGTGTATCATAAATGATGAACTGTTTGTGAGGGATGCTACCCCTAAGAAGACTCAGAGTGTGTTGTCCACCCATGTGCCCACACCCTCCTGCAGCACTGGGATCACTCTGTCTCAGGAGCAGCAGGAAATGGTGCAGGTTCCCTCCACCCCATCTGAGATGAGCTTCTAATGGTCTCAGAAGTGAGTGATGGGTGTGCATGGATATAGGAGGGAGCTGGGAGGATTGAATAGTGAGAACTTGCAGGTAATTATTTTAGATATATATATTACAAAAGTTCACATGTGAAAATACCTTAGTTTTATGCAAATACATTGAAATATATTGTAAAACCCAGTTTTCCTACTGTACATACTGTTTTCATACTTCCTTTGTTTATTATTAGCTCCAATGTAGTTTCCTCTAAGTATGTTAAGCTACCTTATTCCTGCTAAGATCTGTATATTAAGCAATTGAATTTCAGTAGGCCATAAGCTATTATTGATAGATATTTGTCTTTTCACTGCTTTTTCAACATTACATGCAGTGCCACTTGGTCATTCCAGTGCATACAGCTTGGTAAACTTGCAGGATTCTTTTTGTGGCCTAGATTTAGCAGTTACATTGTGTGGTCAAAGTGTCTCCACTTTGGTCCTAACAGGTCATAGGTCTTTCCCCACCACATGTACTTTTAGTACAATGACAAGATGATATCAGAACTTGAAATTCTTTACTCATTAAAAAGTGAAGTCTGAGAATTCAGAGATAAAAGGAAACCGATCCCCAGGCTTTCAGCAAGGCTAAGTGAACAGAAGTCAGGTGGCCTGGGATGAATCTCAGTGCTCCTTGCTCTGCTATCTTCCCAATGATCTCTCTTGACTTTCTCTAGATGAAGGGCAAGATCCCAGAAGAGGCCTTCATGCAGTGACCTAGGATCTTGTAAGCAAAGCCTGAGAAAAGAGCCGTTAGGTGTTCTCTTTTTCACCCTCATCATATTTGTTGTATCTCTTCCAACCTGAGGCTATATCCATTACTAAGGTTGGAGCCCGACTGTCCAGGAAGCCAGTTTACCTTGGAGCCTGCCAGTTTGTACTTTGCCCATTCCTGATCCTTGTTTATTTCCATATTAAAGAGTTATGCTGCACATTGTATGTTTTGTGTCTTGGATTGCTCCTCCCCTGTCCCAACTATGAGCCAGCAGGACCAAGACCAGAAGGTCCAGTCTTCCCCTTCATTCATGACAATCTCTAGCATTTATATCAGGCCTTTACAGTACTTGAAAATTATAGAATAGGGACTTCATTCCTGGACTACCTTAAAATCCAAGCTTTTCTCCCTGTACCCTGATAACTTTCTCTCTACGACTTCAGAGTAACTCACAAGCTGTGACACTCACTTCTATAAACAAACTCAACAGCTTTATCAAGTAGAGTGCCATATTTATTGTAGTATTTGGATTTATTAATCGTTTCACTAGTCTAAAACCATGCTAACCTTTTTATTAGCTTCTTGTTTTATTTCTAAAGTGTCACTGACAAAGTTTTTGAGTGTGTGTACCTATTTTCTTTTTACCACAAATCCTGTGTTGTTTTTTTACCTTTTTAATTTTAAATATCTATTGATTTACAGGAACCTTCAAAAATTGTGCAAGGAGGTCATGTATACCCTCCCTCCACTCACCTCCCAATGATAACATCTTGCATTAGTATAGTACAATATCAAACCAGGAAATGGCTTTTGGTACAGTCCACAGGGTTTACTGAGATTACACCAGTTTTACATGCACTCATTTCCATGCACTTTTACCAGCCATGTAGATTCTGTGACTCACACCACAAACAAGATGCAAAACTGTTCTATCACCACAAGTTTCCCTCATGCTACCCTTTATACCAGAGCACATTTCCCTGGCCCCACATCCTAACCTCTTTCAAACACTCTTGTAATTTTAAAAATGTCACATAAATGGAATCTCCTAGTGTGCAACCTTTTGGAAGGGATTTCTTTCACTCAGCATAACTCCCCTGAGAGCCATCCAAGTTAAGTGTATCAATAGTTTGTTCCTTTTTATTGCTGAGCAGTATGCCATGGCATGCATGTACCCTGGTTGGTTTGAGCATTCACCTGTTGAAGGCCATCTGGACTGTTTTCACTTTTTAACTATTATGAATAAAACTGTTAGGAACATTCATGTACAGGTTTTTGCATGAACATAAATTTTCATTTCTTTGGGTAAATTGCCTTTGTGTGACTAGTGTATAATATGGTAATTGCATGTTCGGTTTTGAAAGAAACTGCCAAATTGTTTTGCAGAGTGGCTGTACCATTTTGCATTCCCATTAAGAATATGAGTAATTCACTTTATCCATAATTTTGCCTGCATGTGGTAGTGTACATATTTTTTTAATCCATTTTATCAAATATGTTTAATGTTTGTTTGTTTTTATTTGAATTTCCGTGATGGCTAAAGATGTTGAATATCTTTTCATGTACCTATTGACCACCAGTAAATTGTCGGGTCATGGTTTTTGTCCATTTTTGATTGGATTAAGTGGCCAAATGTAGTTCCAGAGAGCTGTGCTGTCTCAGGCTAACAAGCAGAATAAGAGAATATGAGGCCTCTTGAGACTCACTTTTTTTATCTAGGAGGGTAGAAATGGGGCTGAAGCAGGTTAACATGTCTCGAATTAGGATAGATCTTGGATGTGGAAGAGGACTAATAGGTGAGGGAATCCCTGGATCCGTCTGTGGGGACCTGGATAGAGCAGAAAAAGAAGGGAGATGTGTGCTGGGGGGAAAAACAATGGGAGGCTCAAGATATGAGGTGTGTGTGTGGGGGGGAATATCTTCCAAATGATGACAGATTCATCGCTCACATCCAGCTCTATAAGATCTAAAAACTATTCTCCTAGACATGTGGGTTCCAACACTGGATATGCATTAGAATCCCTTCTAATGCCCAGTCTCCACCAATTGAATCAGAATCTCTAAGGTTAAGTCCAGTGGTGAGTATATTTAACATTCCTCAGTTCATTCCAATTAGCTGCCAAAATTGAAAACCATCCCTGATGCTCTATTAGTTTTCTGGGTCTGCCATAACAAGGTAGCACAGACTGAGTGGCTTAAACAACAGAAATTTCTCTGGAGGTTAGAAGTTCAAGATCCAGGTGTCTGCTGGTTTGGTTTCTTCTGAGGCTTCCTTCCTTGGCTTGCAGATGGCTGCTCTCTTATGCCTTCTTCATATGGTCATCCCTCTGGACATATGCACTCCTGGCATTTCTTTGTGTGTGCTTAATTCCTCGTATAAGGTCACCAATCAGATGAGATTAGGGCCCAGCTTAATGGCCTCCTTTTAACTTAATCACCTCTTTAAAGGCCCTATCTTCACACAGACACATTCTAAGGTACTGGGGTTTAGAGCTTCAACATATGAATTTGGGTGGGACATAATTCAGTCCATAAGTGATGGTGTGAGAAACACTTTGGTCTGAGAAATTCAGCCCCCTTTTACCTGCCATCCTGGAACTATCACACAACACTTCTGTAATCAGCAAATTGGGCAGAAGTTGGTCATGTGGCCACACCTAGCTGCCAAAGAGGCTACAAATGTGAACTTTTACTGGGAACATTACTGTCCCAAATAAATTTGGGATTCTCTTATGAAGGAAGGAGAATTGGTATAAAATCTATGCTACATTGTACACCCATGGCAGCTAGAAGCACAACCTCAATTAATATGTCCTTTCTACCTGATTTTCCAACCACAATATTCATGGGTTCAAACAAAACTGCTGCTTCAGTGGCACCTCAGCTTTTTCTGCCATCCCCCCAAATCCCTTGCCCCATACTGCCTAGCTCATCACAATTTACCATACATATGTTTATGTCATTTGTTCACTCACTCATTCGTTCAACACAGTTATTGGTCACCAATGATACGAGAAGCAGTGATAGGCACTGGAGATAAAGCAGAGAACCTGACAGACACTATCTTGGTTCTCACAGAGCTTACATTCTAGAAGAGTTGAATCACTCAGGAGTTAGGTGCTCCTAAGAAAATATGGGGAAATGTGATACAGAATGCCTAGGGAGGGCAGGAAGGGTTTCTGAAGAGTTATTTTGATTTGATACTCAATTAGCAAGTAGTCCGCAGTGGGGAGATACAGCAGCTGAGCTCTGTAAACAGAGACTATTAAGAAGGATTTTATGGTATTGACAAGCTTGGCATGTTTAGGAAGCAGGTGGGATGCCAATATGATTGAGAACACACTGTTAGGTAATGGGTTAGAGTGGTAGGAAGGACCAGATCACAGAAGGCCTATGGGCCATGGTAAGGACTCTGGGCTTTGTTCTTATTAAGATGGAGCCATTGTGATATTTAAGAAAGAAAAGGATATTATTGCAGTCTACTTTATTAATACTCATTCTCAATGACTTCTTTGTAGAACAGATTGAAATAGAGCAACAGTAGGAGCAAGGAAACGAGTTAGGAGTCTACCACAGACTTGAGTGTGAGAGGTTACTGTGGCATGGGCAGGATCTTACCCATGGAATGGGTGAGAGCAGTTTGAAATGAGATGTACCCTTGAAGTACTGAACTTGATGACAAAGTCCATGTTTGAGGTGAGCAATAGAAAGGAATCAAGTGTGTCTCTTGGAATGTGGATCTTTGCTACGGGTTGAGGGTGGTTCGATTAAATGAGGAAGTGAATGGGGAACTAGTTTGGATCAATGCCAGGAAATTGAAAGTTCTGTTTTGGTCATGTTTGTGGAGCCTATGAAAAATCTTGGTGGGGCCATGTGGTTGGATACATAACTTTGGAGATGCTGAGAATATTCTTGGTTACAGCAAAAAGAAAACAAACACAAACAAAAACCCATTGTACAGTTTAACAGAATATTTTAATAGAAAAATACACATGAGAGCAGATCATAGCTCTAGATTTTGGAAGGGATGCAAAGTCTTTTAATAATCAGCTTTACTAACTACAATTATGTTCCATATAATGCATCTATTTTAGGTTTATAATTTGATAAGTTTTGATAAATGCATTTACACAACCACTACAATCAACATATGGAACATTGCTATGAAAACTTTTAAGATCCCTGTCAAATTTCTTCATGAAGTTCATCATGTTGCTAGAGAAAAGGATATGCATATACAGGAGTTAGAGAAAGATATAAAGAAG